TGTACCGGGCATCATTAGTTGGGCAACGTTCGAACCCGCATTGGTTGACTCGCCGCTGTCAGTCTCGCACATGCATTCTGAATCATGGACAGCGGCAGAAGGGCCAAATGCCTCAGCACGCACAGGATCGCCACCCTTTTTTTGCCGCCCTTCGGAATACCAACACCTTCATTTGAGGAAGAAGCGGGTTGCCCCGCAGGTGTTGCACCCGTCATCATGTCATTGCATCCTCGATTGTATCGCCTGAGGCAGTGATATGCATCGAGGTTCTCCCACTTATGTTCAACGTGTTTGGCCTCATCTTCGGTGGGCGGCTGCTAATCAGCTCTGCTCAAACATCGCCCAGGAGGGTTGCGAGTCGGATCTACATTGCGACCGAAAACATCTCCATGAGACCAGACCCACGGTGTCCTCTGAAAGTTGGGGCTCCTTGAAATACGCCCCATTGGACATCTGGTCTGTGGTCTGCAGCGCGTGCGCAGCTGCGGACCTGGCACCGGCGTTCTTCTCGATTCTTAATGATGGACCTCTTTGCGCCCCTTCTTTCACGCGCGGGGGCCAACTTAGCGCCATAATCTCCGTTGGCACGGGCGCTCTTGCCACGATCATCCCGCGTAGCATTGCGGAGTGAAATACCACTGGCGGATGTCGTGCTCGGCCCAGCCTTGGCTGAGCCAGTGCTGCATGTTTGCTGCTGAAACACATTGGCGAGCCAGCCCGTGATCTTCGTTGCTGACCAGACGCAGTAGGCCCTGGCCTTCGCGCTCGCCTGGCTGATCCTCGTTCCGAGGCGGGCTTCCCCGCGAGCGTCCTCTTCTGGGCGGAGTCCTTGGGACCCTCGCGTCAGTAAGATGCGGGCGCTGTGCGCCGCTAGAACGGGCGCGAGAATGGCCGCGCGACTGACTCCGCGCGTGACTCTGCGGGTGATATCTCTCAACTTCCCATCCGTCCTCGTCGTCATCATTGCGACGTGCCTGCCTCCAAAGTGGGCGGCTTGCGGATCGGTCATGGATTGCGAACGTGCAATGAGACTTCGCCATGTCCGGGTCCACATTGGACGCGCTCGGAAAAGCCGCCAGCATCGCGCGGGCTACCCCGCAGAGGACCGCCGCCATATGGTTCTCCGTATGTAATATTGCCAATGACCTGCGGCTGGAGCACCAAGTGCAGCTCCTCCTCCGTCGCTGGCATCATAACATCAGAGTCCGCAGGTGCCCCCGCCATCTCGTGGTCCGGATCGGCGGGCATGTAGAAATCCAACGAACTCCATATGTGCAGGTTGCCCCGCGAAGGGAATGCCCAACCAGTCCGCCAGGTTGATCTCGTCGCGTCCAACGTAGATCTCCTCGGATCTCCCGAGGGACACGCTAGCCTTAAGACACCTAGCGGCAATGAAGTGGACGGCGGCAGTAGGGGTGTCTTCGGGTTCGGCGAGTAGCGTCTCCCAATCGACATACTGAGCGCCGAACGTGATGCGCGCTATGGCAGGCATCACTCTCCATGGTTTTTCCCAGTGCCATCCTTCGGGTTACCCCGACGTCCCTTGCCCTCTCCTGAGGCGCGCCTCCGGTTCCACCTGTCCCAAGGAACATTTCGTCGTATTGTGGTCCAGGAAGGGATGCCAAGAATGCCCGCATACCTCTGCCATGTAGTCGCCGTCGTTTGCCTTTACCCTTGCCTCTACCCTTACCTTTTTTCTCGTTGGATCGTGCGTCGTACCCTGCAAACTGGTTTCTTCACACAGGGTCACCAACGGCCTTTATGCGTCTGGTATCCTCGGCATAACAACTGCACCTGCTGCTCTCCTGTGAGATACGCACGCATGTCGGAGTAATCGAGTGCACCAGCTCCTTCATCTGATGTAAAGTCGGCGTCGGTGCCAGCATCAAACTCAAACTCGGCGGCTTGCCTCGCAGATCCTACAAGGGCAATGGCTTGGGCAGGGGCCGCCGTTGCCGACGGCCCCCGGCAACGAGCCCAGGCGTCTTGCGATCCTGTAGGCTGGCCACCATGCTGGCTTAATAAGGTGGTGGCTTCAGTGGGTTGTGGATCATCGTTCCAGGCGTTGGTCGCAGGTGTTGCCCTGCATTAGTGTCGGCGCGAAAGGTTTCGGCACGGTGGCCGACAATGGCTAAATCTACCAATGTTGCCAGGGGCGCGCTCAGCAATGTCTGTGAGCATAAGACCTCGTGCGCTCTAACAGAGAATCAAACTGTTGCTGGGTCATTGGCATGTGGTGGTTGAGTGGTTGTAGTAGTTTTTGTGAACGCGACGTATCCACCCCAAGAGCTCTGAACATAATGACTGCTAGGGATCTGGAAGTTGGGAGTATTGAAGCCTGCCTGCGATTTCGGCCCCGAAGCGCGCTATCTCAAAGCGCGCCAGCGCTTGGTCGATCCACTTTCCCGCGGGGGCGCGAAAGCCGATGAGAGCCGTTCCTGGATTCAGTTGGCGCTCCTGCTGTAAATTTTCGAACTTAGTGCTGAGGAAGAACACGATGTAGGTGGCGCCGTCACTGGGGCGACCACCGATATTCACGTGAAAGTTTATGATTCCCGAAGGTACTCTCATGTCGATGGTCCTTGCGAGCCCTCCCAGACCACGTTGTACTGCTGCGGTCTATTGGAAGGGGGCCACGGTGCCTGTGGCCACGTTGATCCAGGCGTGCACCTCGCGAACGCATTCGCGGAAAGGCACGTTACTGGCAGGGTCCCACTGGGGGCCGGTAGTACTCGAGTCGTCTTCACCACGCTGCATGTGCCCAACAGCGCACCCGATAGCGACCCTCGGGAGGCCAAGTATGGCAACGCCAATCCAATGGCCCCTTAGGTCGTGGTCGGATGTTTGCGGCTGTGGGTTATGATGCATTGTAGTTGCCCTGCGTGGGGGTTGAGGCGGCACACTGTCGTATCGCATGCTACCATGCAGCGCGTCTCTGAAAAAAAAATCGACTTGGAGTAGGGGGTAACTTCAGGAGTGTAATAGCGCAGGGAATTGAGACGCATGTAAGAGGCCTCCGCGGGAACGGAGGTAGCGCTGCCAATGTCCTTGCGGTTGTGCGTAGATATGCACATTCCTCCGCGCAAACCCACTGCACCCTGACGTTCCACCATGTCAATAGTCCACCAGATGGTGCCGTGGATGGCGAAGAGTAGAGCTAGAGCTGACCACCATAGGCCAGCTCCGCTACCAAGTTTGAAAAAGGGGGTTAGGAGGCCCAGCCAGAAGCTTCGCTGAAGGCGAAGCCCATATCTAACTCTACTGTACTGTAGCAACGATAATCCCAGGAGTGGGGGATCGTCGCGGGAGCGACGGGCCATGTCAAGCGAAAATGTTTCCGGTCTCGGATGGCAAATTGTGTGCCTGGCGGTGAAGCGCAGTCACATGATGGCGGCCGGCCTCTTGAGCACAAGCGGCCGCGGACAAGCGCTCGTTATCTCTAGCCTTTGCCCCAGCCCCTTTTAGAGTAAAAAACCCCCAGATAGCCCCAAAAGCGCCCAAGACTGTCTCAAGAGCGCTCCAAGAGAGACCCTTCATCTGCGTGCTGCCCACTTCCCTGATCGAGTCAAATATGGTGGGGTTGCGCGAAGCGATTAGAGTTTCGAAGAGCCGGCTGCCCCCAGACCTGGGCCACGCGCGCGCTTCGCGCGTGCTCAGGTTCTACCTAGGCACATCGTCATCAGCATCGCGAAAATCGTTTTCGTCACCGCCGTCGTCATCATCACCAGCATCACCAACATCATCATCACCACCATCATCATCGTTATCGTCACCATCATCATCACCATCACCATCAACATCAATGTCAACATCATCATCATCTTCAGCACCGTCATCACCGTCATCATCATCCTTATCGCCGCCATCATCATCGATGTCATCATTATCGTCGTCATCGTCATCATCAACATCATCACGATCATCATCGTTCTCATCGACGTCGTCTTCTTCGTCATCAGCATCCTCGTCGCCAACATCATCATCATGCACAGTGCCATTGCCATCGTAGCCGTCGTCGTCATCGACATCGTCGACGTTCCGCCCTCGTCGTCGACGTTTCGCCCTCGTCGTCGTCGTCGTCGTCATCATCATCATCATCACCATTAGCATCATCATCCGTCTGCTCCAGCCCCCTCCTCGCCGTCCTCCTCCTCCTCCTCCTCCTCCTTCACCTCCTCCCCCTTCCATATCTCCCCGTTCTCCAAGACCTCCTCCTCCTCCTCCTCCTCCTCCTTGACGCCTCCTCCTCAAAGAAGATCCCTACTCCTCCTCCTCATCATCCTGCTCTTCCCTGTCCTCCCCGCTCTCTTCAATATCCCCCTTCTTCCTCCACGTGCTACTCGTCCTTCCTCACCTCTAGTCCTCCTCCTCCTCCGCTCCGCTTTCCTCCTCGTCCTCAGCAGCCCTCCCCGAGACCGAGAATTCGACAGCGACGAAATCTGTCAAACATCTACGGGGAATTATTTTTGTTGCAGCAGGGAGCCCTCTTAGTAATCCTCTTGAGGATCTCTTGTTCCGTCCACGGGGCCTCTTGGGCCGTCTTGAAGCTACCTTAGGCCGCTTTGGGTTTACAGGGCAGTCTCGAAGCCTCAGAGTTCGCGCTGGCGCCACCCGAGGTCTTCCTAGAGCCATATGAAGTCCCGCAAGAAATCCACCCGGGGGTAGTATTACGGGCATGACTGGGGGTCTGGGAGGGTGGAACGGAGCCCGGGGCTGGGACCTAGAACTCATCATCATCATCATCATCATCATCATCACCACCACCATCATCATCAATATCATCATCTCCATCATCACCATCATCATCATCATCGTCGTCATCATCAGCAGCATCATAACCACCACCATCATCATCATCGGCATCATCATCGGAATCACCGCCATCGCCACCGTCGCCGCCATCGCCATCACCATACTCCTCGTCATCGCCGGACTGTTTCTGCATTCGACGTTTCCCGCGGTAGGAAGCGGGGGCGGAAGAGCTGGCCCGGCGCGCGCTCCTCGTAGTCCCGCTCGTCGTCTGCGTGAAACTCGAAGGACACGATGGTGGCCCGTTTGCACTTTCTGTTTGGGGCCCGCGCTGGCAGACCTCTGCCGGGGAGGCGCACCCTCGTGGCACGTCACCCCGCCGCCCCTCGGCCAAGACATGGCCATGGCGCCCACTGCCAACCCCCACTGCGTGCGGGGAGGAATTCGCCACTCGCCCCTCCCCCGCTGCACCCTGGCCAACTTCCATCGCGACTCCGCCAACGATAACCGTGCTTCCACCGAGACTCCGTCGGCAGTCCTCCGCGCCGACTCCGCGGCATTTGGCTTCCCCCGCCCCGCCAGCCGGAGATGGGGGGGACGTGATTTGTTGACACCCCCCGGTGCTATTTTCCATTCCATCGAGACTCCGTCGGCAATCCTCCGCGCCCACCCTGTGACATTAAACTTCCCCCCCAGCCGGCCCGAGAGGGGGGGGCGCGATGTGTTAATGCCCCCTGGTGACACTTTCCATTCCGCCGAGAACATGATCAAATAAACTCTCCCGTGTCCCCTCCCAAGGGGGGGCCATTTTGTGAATCCGTTTCCCAGCCGCGTGGCCGACGACAACGAGTCCTCCGGACCGCCTCCGTGACATTTAGCTCCCCCCCGCCGGCCCGAGAGGGGGAGGACCAGATTTGTAATCACCCCCAGGTGCTATTTTTTATTCCGCCGAAGCTCCGTTGGCAATCCTCCGTGCCGACTCCGTGACGTTTAACGCCCCCCCCCAAGCCAGCCCGAGAGGGGGGTGGCCCTATGTCTACATATCTCGTAGCCTACAGCATAATGCGGAAGAAAGGCTGTGCGCGAATTAACGGGAACAATGGTTTTCGAAGCCAACGCCTACGTTGCTGAAGGTGCGATTGGGATTAGTTCTCGGATAGGGTGATGGGGCGTACACCTACTTTACGGTATAGATACGTGTGAGCACGTATTTCCCTCCGCTACTGCCCCATTCCCGCCCTCGGGCTGTTTCCCCCCGCCACGGCAGGGGAGGGAGGGGTGGGGAAGCGAATTAATGGAGAAGGAAGTATGAGGTAGCAGGTGGGGGGACATGAGGGACGAAGGGAAGGCAGGAATAGGAGGAAGGAGGGAGGGCGATGAGGAATAGGAGGAGGAGGAGGAGGAGGAAGAGGAAGGGGAGGGTGACGAGGACGGGAGAGGAGAAGGAGGGAGGGTGAAGATCAGGACGATGAGGAGGATGACGAGGAAGGGCAGAGGCGTGCGGAGGCAAACTCTTACCTTGGCCCATCTACCACATCCTGCATCCTAGAGCCATTTAGCTGGTACTCTTTGGTCGTAGCTTGCACTCACTTCAGGCCTCCGACCCCCTCTATGTCCTGACCGACACTGCCCCCCCACCTGGTCTGACACTCCCACGTCTTTGACTATGTCTTCTTGGGACGCCACTCCCCGGTCATTTTTCAGCACGGAGCCGACCCCGCGTCCACCTCGTTCCCGCAGCGCCAGACCTACGCAACTGGACTCGTATTCTTGAGACCCCCCATCCCCTCCACTTCCCACCCGCAGGTTGCACCGCCTCCACCGCGCCCGCCATCGCCCATACAGCGCCCGATATCCCCCCCACCTCCCAACCCACGCTCCTAGACTCGTTGTCTTGCGACCTCTGACCACATCCGTGCCACGCCTGGAACCTCGCCTCGTTTCCACCCTGCCCCCAGCGCGCCCGATGTCTCCCACCCCTAATCGACGCCCTTAGACTGGTCTTCCCGATGCGCCCCACCCCGGGCCCCCGCCATTCCCGTCCAGACCCCGCCCTGCCTCTACACCGCCCCCCAACACGCCCGACACCCCCCGGACCCTGCAGCCCACGCTTCTGAAGATGAGCTCTTCCAACCTATCCACTGTCTCTTCTCCAGGGAAACATTAACCCCTCCGATGACCCCCTCCCCAAAGGTCTGGACGGGGCATCGCGACCAGCTATGCGTCCGCAATGGCCCGAGATGGACCAAAAACTGCTCCAGGAAGCCCATCATGACCTCCACACCGCAATGTATGGCAAATCGGCCGAAGTGGTCTTCAACGCGGTTCCAGGGAGGAACCAAGAGTGGCAATGGAGACTCCCAAGGGTGCCCCGAGACTCACTCACCCCTTCAACAAAAACAACTTGCTCGACGGCGTCTCCCTCCTAGCCCTGTCACGTCCGGCGGGCCCTGGAGGCGTCCAGATGACCTACCAAGTAAGGCCCCAAGAGTGGCCCAGACGGGCCCCAAAACGGCCCCCTGGGACCCCACGAGTACCCGAAGAGAGCTCGAAGAGGAGACTGGGAGGCGATTATGGCCAATTTCAAAGGGGCACACAGATTACCACACGAGACTCTTGAAAGAGACTCCGACAAGTCCCCAGATTGGCAAGTTGGGGGGCTGCCCGAGCTGACCCCAGCTTCGGTTTGACGGGTCTGCCCTCACTCTCCCTCTATTTGCTCGGGCTGCTCGAGCTGACCCCAGCTTCGGTTCGACGGGTGTCCGCCCTCACTCTCCCCCTATATGCTCCTCCACTTCCTTGCTGACAACAACTTGCGTAGGAATCGGTTCTGGACGGGTTGGTGGGGATGCTAGACAAATCAAGAACTGTAATTTGCACGAGCAATGCGCTCACATGGTCACGAAAAATGTCACTCTAGAGGCGAACTCCCTACCCCCTTGAAATGCTTGGCATCTAGACAGCACACCTTCGCCGGTAGATAACACCCCATGGTCGCCGCGAGAGGAGGACTATGACGAAGACGACGAGAATGACGAGGACATTGATGATTCTAGTTTGCCAAAGTGCGGCCAAAGACTTGAGCAGCACAGCAGTTCACATCGTCATGAACGATAACAAACTTATCGTCATGTACGAAATCGCCACCGTGCCCACGGGCACATAGTGAAATGGCATGCTGCCATGACTGATTTGCAAGGTGCGCTGATTGGCTAAATAGCAATGAATCAATCAAAACTTGGCCTGCTCGGTGCGCCTGGCAAGTAGCATCCCTATCATGTCGGAGGCACTTGCTCTACGAGCCGGCTCGGGCATCAACGACGCCTCCAACCACGCCACTGTTACACCGTCGAGCGTGTTACCCATCTTCGTCATCGCCTCGATGAGGCAATCAGCATGGAAGAAAAACTCGAGTACTTGCCGCGCGGCGTATGCGAGGGACTCGCCACGGCGCCACTGGACCGACAACTTGAGCGAACCCTGCCTGCAATCGATCTCCAAGAGAAGCACCCCAAGACTCTCCCAATCAGCTGGCTTAGGCAACTATGGCTCGTTCAGCGCCACCTCTGGAGCCACTCACGGCAGAGATCCGCACAGGGTCTCCCTTGCGCTGGAGTTTGGAACGTGGGCGGCCATGCTGAAATCAACAAGGCGGCAGATGTGCCCATTCAGCGTTGTCTCTACAGCCACGTGTCTCAAAGACACTTGCCCATGGACGACGTCCTGGTCGTTGCAGTAGGACAGAGCACTGGCGATCTGGGTACTGCAGTCCAAGGCGTCGGCCCTGGACAAGCGGTACCCAGGTTGAGTCGACAACACCTGCTCCATGCACACGTCTCCACCATACTGGATAATCAAAAGCACACTACACTGGCTGTGCAACATGCCTAATTACGCAACGGATGATGTGTGTGTGGTCGAGGGTGTGCGTCAAACCGCCGAACCCAGAGGCGTGTGAGGAGAAGCGTGTCCTCGAGGCCCACTTACACGATGAATACAAGCGTGAAGCACCACCACCCCACGAGAGCGCAGTTCTTGCGATCGCCACACAAGAACTTCTAGCTTCGAACTTCTCACCCGAAACTCACCGACACCCCCAACCGGCTCGCATCACGCCCCACCACGTCCCAGCACTCCCACCCCACGAGAGCTAAGTTCTTGGGATCCCCCACACTCCACGAGAGCTCAATTCTTCGGACCCCCCACACGACAATTTTTCGCTGGAAGCTCACCGACGCCCCCCACCGCGCCCCCACCACGCCCAGGCATCCCCACCCAACGAGAGCTCTGTTCTTGGAACGCCCCACATGGCAATTTTTCACTTCCCAACCGGCCAACGCTCCCCACCGCGCCCCCACCACGCACCCCGCGCCCCCACCACGCCCAGGCATCCCCACCCAACGAGAGCTCTGTTCTTGGAACGCCCCACATGGCAATTTCTCACTTCCCAACCGACCAACGCGCCCCACCGCGCCCCCGGTACGCCCCGGCATCCCCGCCCCACGAGAGCTTTGTTCTTGGGACGCCCCACAAAACAATTTCTCGCCCAGAACCGACCAACGCCCCCCACCTCCACACGACAAATTCTCGCCGGCAACTCACCGACGCCCCCCACCGCGCCCCCACCACGCCCCGGAATCCCCACACCACGAGAGCTTCGTTCTTGGGACCCCCCACACGACGATTTCTCGCCCAAAACTGACCAACGCCCCCCACTGCGCCCTCCCACCCCCACCACGTCTGACGCCCCCACCCTCCTGGACCCTCTTTGCATGCTTCTTCAAGGACCCCCCACCCTGCAAAAGCAAGCGCCGGCCCTCCCACCGCGCTCCCGGACCACGTCTGACACCCGAACTCTCCTGGACCCTCTCTGCGTCCTTTTGCAAACACCCTCCACCCTGCAAAAACAAGCGCCGGCACTCCCACCGCGCCCCCCCACCACGTCTGACACCCCCACCCTCCTAGGCCCCCTGTGTGTGCTTTTTCAGAGACCCCCAACCATACAAGAACAGGCGCCGGCACCCCCACCGCTCCCCCACCACGCCTGACATCCCCACCCTCCTGAACCCTCTTTGTGTGCTTTCTCAGGGACCCTCCACCCTGCAGAAACAAGCGCCGGCACCCCACCGCGACCCCCCACCGCGTCTGACACCCCCACCCTCCTGGACTCTCTTTGTGTGGTCTTTTGTTCAGGGACCCCCAACCCTACAAAAACAAGCGCTGGCACTCCCACAGTGCCCCCCATCATGTCTGACACCCCCACCCCGCCTTGCAAAAACAAGCGCTGACACACCCACCGCGCCCTCCCACCACGTCTGACACCCCCACCTTCCTGGACCT